GCCCGGCGTGGGGGCGGGCCTTGGCCTCTCCCGCTCTCCCCCCGCCAGAGGGGCGGGGCCCCGGCCCGGTGAGGGGGCGGGGCCGTGGTCCAGACTACAGGTAACAGACCAGGTGAGCCCAGCTGTGCCGAAGGGAGTAAGGGCCCTGGGATTCCGAGCAAAGGTCCAGAGGGCAGGAACAGGGAAAGTCTGTAACTAAATTCTTTCCCCCCCGAAGATAAAGCCCTTATCACCTGCATAATTATTATAAATGCTCCAGGATTCCACCTTCAGATTCCAAATCAGTTGTTTTGAGTCGGTGGCCAATAGTCTGCATTTTCGGCAATAAGCCTGGATTTCTCTGAAGCAGGTCGTTGAGGAAAACAATCTGCACACAGATTCCTTCTAATCCAGACGTTTGACGTCCTTGTACTTTCCTTGTTAGTACTAATATCCTGGCCAAAGACTTATTTATCTTAGAATCATTAATCAGGCCCCTAATGGACTTTTCCCCTACTAAGCCTAATTTAAACGGATATTTCAATTCAGTCGCCTTCACTTCAAAATATACAGGGTTTATACTGTAAATATGTTAACATATTCCCATCTCGTTCATTTTGAACATGATTTATAAAAGAAAACCAAGTTCTTGGTATCAGTCTCCAGAGCCTCCTTCCCTTCACACACAATTTACTCCCACCTAACCCTTTCTCACTCCTTGGAACCTGCTCTCTGCCTCTACCGTGGCCGCTAGTCCCCATTCTGTCATCTACCCTCTCAGCATCCTCTCCAGACATCTTTTGTTGGTGCACTCAAGCTCCTGACCTTACTGCAGCATCCACTTAATGCCGGTGCCCTCACGGTATTTATTATTCCAGTAGACACTGGGATACATTTGTTGTATAATAAATACCATATCCAAGGAAATTTTTCCTAAAGATAACCACCAAGAAATCCCAATTATAAAAAGAAATTCCAACTACATAAAAGGGTTAAATGCTATCCAAAAGGTTTCATTAACCAAGAAATATTAACTTGATTATCAGGAGAACAAAAATGCTATTGGTTCCCTGGAGCCAATTCTCCAGCAGTTCTCTTATAACACACCTTCCATGCTTCTGTGCCTTTATGTGGCATTCTAGCTGCATGGAATGCTGTTCCCTTTTCCCTACTCTGTGAACTGCTACTCATGCCTCAAGACCTGCCTGACCTCCCTCTCCCCACCGTGCATCCACATTACCTTGTGTGCTGTTCCACTAGGACTTTGCAGACTGCTAAATTAGACGGGCATACATACCTCTCTCTCCCAGCTGTGTGTGAGCCTTCTGAGGGAAGGAACTGATTTTTATTCACCCTTGAATCCAACATAGTGCTGGGCACAGAGAGCATGCAACAAAATGCTTTTTAAATTAAATTAATGTTTAATTTATAAAAATTTAAAACTCTCCACAAGTATTGACCATGGGAAAATACAGAAAATCAAGTTTAGAAAATAAATAGGTAAGGGAAAATTGCTTTACTATCTTTAAATCTAAGAAGGTCCCTTATGGGTATGCTCAACAGTTACAGTCCACATTCGGGGAGAATCAAACAAGAGGATATGTACTTAAAGCAGAAGAGATTGGCTGGGCATAAGGAGATTATTAATTGCTTGAAGACACAGACAGTTCAAGGAAAATTGCACACAGAACTAAAAAATGAATTTTTTGACAAAGCAGTGCTCTGCACATCCAGATATGGAGGAATCCTAAGGCCTAAACAAAATATTCATCCAAAATATTTTTTTTAATCCTTAGAAGTTATATAATCAAACTTGATGGAAGTTATTTTAATAGGTATTCTTGTGTACGTTTCTCCTTAAGTATACTTTATCCTCAATGCATAACTTTTAAAATTAAGAGAAAAACAGCAAGCAGGGGGGATACAATGCAATATGCATTTCATTTTGTTCCAAACAAGCAGCTAAAAAAAAAAAAAAAAAAAAGGACAACACACATTAAACAAAGTGCATCAGTTCCAAGAAGCTAGTATTAGAAAAAGGCCCAAGGACAGTGCTGGAACCAGCCAGAAGTCTTGCCCTGGCAGGCCTGATTGTCTTTAGAATATTCAACCAAAAAAAAAAAAGGAATAAAGGAAGAGGAAAAGAAATGCACATTTTAAAATCTCAAGAGAAACATTCAAACTACACTTCCCTAGAGACTTCTTGCAAAATGAGCTAAGGAACTGCCCAGTTTTAACTTTGTAACCTCCCTCAGTCATCCGCTTTGTAACTTGATTTGCCCAAAAGACCTACCCTCATCCTTTCAACACCATTTGCCCATGTGCATTCTGCCAAGCTAGGCATGCAGTTAGATTAACTAAGACATGAAGAAACACTTAGGACTGCGTTTCCACACATCCTGAGAATAGGCACCCCCATTAGAAATGGGAGCTTCATTTCACTAGCCAGCATCATCAGCTGACTCCAGAGATAGTCCGACACCATTGTCTCCCAGGGCTCCAGGTCCACACTTAACTGCTGGTGTTAAAAAGATGTGTCCAGCAAGGCTGTGGCTTCTTTCCCTTTTAAGACAGTCCTCTGTGATAGATTATGACACCAGGATGGAACCAAATGGTGTGTCAAGTCAGAAAAGACACAAAGGGAGGGAGTTTTAAGCTTACTTCTCCATCCTCCCAACCCTCACTCGAGGTTTTGCTGACTCTTGTGAAAATCTAAGATTTTGGAAACACCAGAACCAAGAAAGTCAAATCAACCTCCAGTGCACTTATGGCCTACCACCTTCTGTAACTTCACTCCTAAGGCTGCCCTCAGGAACAGAACTACCTGTGTAACCTGGAACAAGTGCAGAGGAAACCCCAGGTCAGCAGGCTTGGAACTAGATCTGCTTGGACTGGGCTTGGAGTTTAGAACTCTTCTGCCAAAGCTCCAAGTCCCCGGATAACTTATTTAGATAAATTCAAATTTCCAAAGTATGCACATTCTCATACAATGGCTGGGGATCATCAAAATTCACTAGCAAAACATTGTAAGGTGAATAAAGTCAAGGAAGAATTATACTTGTGTGCAAGTGATTGATTTCTTTTTGTTTTTGCAGGAGGCTCTGTCCTACAGGGTTTCTGAGCCAGCACCATGCATGTCACATGGTTACTTACAGTGGATGCAGGATCAGACATTCACATTTTTAAAGGGGGAACCCAGTCCCCTCCAAGACTTATACTTCCATTTGTTAGTGATGCCTTCTCCTCCAATTTCGTAAGGCCAACTGATAACACAGACTACTTTTGAACTTACACACACACACCATCCCCAATATACAGGACCAGACTTCAAACCCAGTGTGTATTTTCACTGCTGAGGCTATGCTCCTAACAACTTTCTCAGAGCATCTGTGGGCATCAATCAAACCAGCACATGGTGACTTAAATATCAATAGTCTTTGGTGATAGATGCCAAGTAAATGTAAGTGCCTACTACGATAGTTTTCCCAATGTCCCCATTTAGATAAACCTTACCTACAATTCCCTGATGTTCTGTACATCACCCAGAAATACTTTTTGGCTTGAGTGAGGGGGATGGTTCTGAGTCCTATTCAACCTAGGGCCTCCTAAAGGCTTTACTCTGTATTCAGGTACCGTATCAGTGACCGAATCAGTGTAAGAGAACAAGTAAAATGTATTCAAGTCCTCAGGAAGCTTTGGTCCAATGTCCTCTCTCTCACAGTGAGAATTTTACTTCCAGGAGAAGCAGCATGTACAGGCCAAGTTTTGAACTGTTCTATGTCTGCCTCTATCATAATTCAATACATTTACCCAAGAAGCCCATCTCTTCCAGAGGTTGGTAACTACCCTTCCCTGACCTCATATCTATAATGTAGATGCTAGGAGCCACCTACATCACTAAACAAAGGCATTTAGGATAAAAGCCCCCATTAACACATTCCCTGCATTAGCCTCCTCAACTCTTCTTCAAACAAGAGGGATGAAAGTAGTTTATAAAGGAAAACAGCATAATTCCCACAAGCCCACAAAATAGTCAAAATGTCATGGCAAATCTTCACGTACAATAAAAGGTTTCCTTAACACATTAACACTAAGCAGTAGGCTTATACTGGTCAGGCAACTTTAAGGTCCAGGAGGATGATATAACCCAGTCACCTGTTTCCAAGCTTGTCAATCCAGAATCAAAAATGGATTATGGAAAACTTTGACCTTAGGGGCCAGCTGAAGGTGAAATTTAGACAAAAGCAGTCCCTTACAATGTACCTCTTATAAATTTAAGAGGCTGATATCTTTGAAAAACAATCTCATGTACCTATGTGCAACATACAATTTTACCCCAACATGGTGAGCTATTATCAGGCTTAAAATCTGTTTCAGAATCACAAGATTCAGCCTGTCACTGCTGTGCAGTCCAGCCCCAGAAACATGATGAGGTGAATGGAGTCTAAATTTTATACTTAAAAAAAAAAATGCCTTATGCCAAACTCTCAATTATCCTCTTTTATGTGACATCTGGGAGTAGGAGCTGGGGGTATGTACTTCTTTAATGTAGTTACCTAATAAACTATTAGCTTGGTATGAGAATGCAGGAAATATTATTAAGGGAAACCCTAATCATCTGTCCAATTTAGAGTCATTCTCTCTAGGAGAAAGCTGAGCTTGAATAATCATAGTCGGGCCTGATTCTACCTGATCAGAGACTACTACTTAGGGCTGTGTGTTTCACCTTTCAGGGGCTTTGCCCCCCTCACCTGTGAAAGGAGGTGTTCTAAATTCTATGGTTTCTGAAGAAGTCAAGAGAGAGACAATGTATCATATTCATTGTTGCATTTGATAAATTCCCTCTTAGAAAAAAAATCTCATTTTCTTAAATAAGAAAACAATGTTAACTAATTCCCGGTGTTTTTCGTTCCACTGATCTTTAAGGAACTATTTGCCTTAGTGCCTTCACTGCTAAGCTCTCAGGAAATATTACTATGCAAGATCTGCCCCTCTGTCTACTTAGTGCTAACTGTTTCCAAGTATCTTATATATGCTTCTCTCCCATGGGCATAGATTCAATCAAAAATTTAAAACCTGGCTCTCTGATGAGTTCAAACATATTAACTTTTACTTAAATGAAGCTTATTTCCAGGTATATCTGGTAGTAATCTAGGCAAAGAGTTGATGTGTTAATACATGGTTTGGTTGGAGGGCTTGAGTTAAGATGGTTCATAAATTGTCGAATGAAGAGAGGATTCAGGCTACAGAATGTCTGACAAGGTCTAGAAAAACAGGTGGGGTGGGGGAGGGAAAAAAGGAAAGAAATCACCATCAGTTTAAATTTGTAATATTACCTTATATTTGTATAGCTGTTTAGCATTTACCCAGTTTGTGATTTTAAAACATTTTCAAATCTTGAAGAGGAATGACTGGTTAAATGACTAGGATAATTAAAAACAACAACAACAACAAAAAAAAAAAACAAAAAAAACCACCACTCAGCAAAGCAAACCATTTAAAGGAACCCCCTATGTATGTATCTTTCCTCATTCCCCATGGCTGGAACAGTACAGCAAATGCTGTCGCTCTATAGTAGCTAGCAGTGCAATCATAAGTGAAAATTCATCTGCAGTTTAATGTCAACTTGAGCTGGGTTAAAAGAAACACCTAAAAGAAAAGCAAGTTAGTAAGTGGGAATTGACTGTAGATTACATTCGATCTAAAGGTTTGACCAAAGAAAAGTGTCCACATGACTAGGCAAAGACATTTATAGAATCCTAACCACCTTTTAATCTTCACCCAGCCACTGAGGACACACCGTCACAGAAACCTGATGCTCTACATCACCCCCAAAATACATTTTCTCTGTTGTGCTTCTAAACTATCTGCCTGGAGACACCACGAAAGAAGGGGAAATGGGCTTTCCTGTGGGTCCAGGGAACACCTGCTGATTTTTAACCAGCATGAGGACTCTCAGAATGAAAGTAGACAAACAACTGTAGAAAAAAGCAAACAAAAAGAAAAGCGACCGAAGTCTCTCTGAGAACTAATGGGAAGAGAGCATTTCAACTGAAATAGCAACCATCTTTGTGATACTACTTGCAACAGGTAGCCCAAGCTGAGGTCAAGATGGAAAACAATGACAGAGTTCTTAGATCAGATCAGTTAAGGAACTGGTATAAGTGTCACACAATGCTTCTAAGAAAGCAGTGTTTTTTCCCCCCCTCCAACTTCTGTCATAGTTTTAGTGTTCATGTAGTTTAAAAATGGTATCATACAAAAAACCTCATATATGGCTATAAGCTCAATTATCAACAGAGGTAGTAAAACAAAGGAACTAAGAATAGATTTTAAAATGGATCAAAGTGTGACTGTACATTCAAAACCCTAGAGCCACATAATCATCCCCAAAATGAACTGTTTTAATTTTAAAAAGTTTAAAAACACAATGACAATGAAGCACTGATGTGCCTTAGGCTCAGTCCCCAATCAGTGCTGACTTAAAGCTATGTCCTCTCTTTCCAAGAAAGAGAAAGCAGAGAACAAAGTTCAATCTACAATGGGAAGGAACAGAAAGAACAAAAAGAAAACCAGAAGGGTGTTTTCCAGCAGCCTAGATTATTCATTTTTCAGGCCACACCAGTGGAAATGTGTATTCTTCTTATATGAGTCTCTTCTTCACAATCTTTATTTTTTTTAAACTGCAATCTGCTGAACAAGAGATGCCCACATTTTCACTGGCAGGAGAGCACTTCTGTGCAGTTTTTGCTTCCTCAGTGTGGGTCCTCCTTCCCTGAAAGTGCAAAGAGAGCAAGCCGACACCTGCAGGGCCCAGAGCCCCAGGACTATTTCAGCTCCACTTGTAATGCAGAGCAAAGGATACGCTGCATTTGTGCTTCAAAGATACAGCCCACTTTGGTTGTCTTTCTCAGTTGGCAAATTGTTCATAAAAAGCAAACTTGATCCTCTCTATGTGATGGCAAAGTTTGATGGCAGGGCCCAATTTTAAGTCCATGCACTCTTGAACAGTGGGAAGGGTAAGGAGCAACAGGGCCTGCCCATCAATTTCCTGTTAAAACATAAAATACAAATTATCTATGGTGTACACATTAGTGGCAGCTTGATCATGACAGCACCTGTTCACCTTGCTTTGTCAAAATCAGTCCCTGTGCTTTACCTTTCATTACTTTTCCCCTTCAAATAAATATCACACATTTCCTTTTAAATGCCTCTCATAATCCACCATACTAATCTTCAGAATTAGTAACAGAAGTTCTATCAAGGATAAGAATCCATTTTGCTCAGCAGAAATTTAGTAAATGTCTTGTAACCAGCAACTAAACGTGCCAAAAGAAACATGTTTTTCGAGGAGTCTTTCTAAATCTGAAAGAAAATATTGCAGATAAACTTTGTTTTCCTACTCTGTAACATTCACAAAAGCCTGACAAGCTCTTCAAAGATGTTCAGTTTTGAATCTCCTCAATTATCAAAACAAAATTTATTTCAGTATTAAAGCCAGAGACTATTTCCATTAGAGCCTAACATATTACAGATATTAATTATTTTTTAAAATAAGCAAATCATTAATTTTGGGAAAGAGGGGGACAATTAAGCATGGCATGCTTGATTTTAAGCCATTTAATGCTGGATGGAAACAAACTCTTTGGGAAAATGAGCATGCAATGATAATCTGCTTCAATTATGAAGGAAGTCAGATAAATAACTTTTTATTATATTTCTACTCCTAAAAAGGGAGATAATTTTTTCCTTTTTGATAGAAATATTTCTCCTATGACTTGTAAATAAATTGCTATTACATCCATAGGACAATGGATGCTAAAAAGACACATTACTAAAAAGTAAAGGTCTCTGTGATTACCTGGTCTAGGAATATTCTTGCTAACGGAGCACAGTCGGTGGATCTGATGAACCGCACAACATCTGCCACGCTCCACTTCAGGGGGTTACTGTCCAGGTGAAGCCTTTCAGCAACTTCAATCCTTATTTCCTTTATTCCCCACAACAAAAGCAAATCAAATGGTGGAAGAGCTATTCCATTCTAAGAAAATCTCTACATGAAGTCATAACCCTTTAAGGCAGGATTTAAAGTGGTTTAGGACATGACTTCTCCCAGTAAAGATGGCAAAGGCCCGTACACATTAGGTACTCAGGAAATGTTTGTCTTTTATAATAAATATCAGTGGACAAGAATTTATCTCAAAGTCTCAGCACAAATAATTTAAACACTTTAACAGAGAAACATTCTTTTTAAATCTCCCATTTGTTCCTTGGTGTAGTTCAGCACACTATCTGGTAGAGTGCAGAAGTGAATGGGATGGTATTTCCAATGAGAGAAGACAACTAAATTATCAGGAGAAATCATTTACTGCAATCCAATTTTAAAACACTAACTTAACTGCCATTCTTGTAATGTGTATATATAATACACATATATGAATATACTAAACATATTGGTTTAACCAGAACCAAAAGGATAAATAATTTATTTCTACAAAACCATATATATTATGAAAAATACAAAAAAAGGCAGTTTTTCCTAAACTAAATGACAGGCTATCAATAAACTACCAACGAAACTTTTTTTTCCTTAAACCAAGAAGCCATTCTGAGGGAGACCTTCCTCCTGGTAAGTAGCTGATCTCCAAATCATCCTTGAAACACAAATAAATCACTGAATTTGGAATCTTTTAAAAAGAGACCCAGGAAATTCAACTGAAGCCTGTGCTGAAATAAATGTAATGCCAACATCATTAACAATTAGATTCTAGAGGGCAATGATGTCAAGAGAGGAAAAAAGACACTGTTGTTTTAAAATGTCTACCTTTGGTGAAGGAGGTTTATTCTCATCATCAGAAAATGAAAAAGTGCGAAGCTCTCTTTTTCTTCTTTGTTTGTCTGGAGGCAGCGATGTGGAGATCTCACTTTGGGTAGGAGAGGAGGAGCATGACTTTTTTTCTGACATTTCTGACTCCTCCTGTAGCTCGTCCTGCTGCTCAGATGTACTGCCCTCACTTAGGGAATCATCATCTCCTTCATCTGGGTCATCCTCATCTTCACCCCCACTTCCCTACAGGACAAGGAGAGAAGTCTCATTGAAATTCAGGGCAAATCAGTTCCTGGACCACAAACCCATCTTCTATTGGCCAGAAATCCGAATCAGAAAGACCTGCAGGTATTATTTCTGTCTGTACTGTAAGGCAAGGATCTCCTGGCTTCTAGACATTACAGGTACACCACAGATCTCATACCTGGGGGGAGCCCGCTGGGGTATTATCAACAGACGCAGAGGAGCGTTTCTTCTTATGAACAAAAACATTTTTCCGCCTCTTTCTCCTCTTACTGGCTTTTTTCAGGGCACATGCTAAGTTACTATGCCCACCAGGTGGCCTCCCAATTCTTTTATTTTTCTTCTTTCCATAGTAGTGTGCTAAATGTGAATGACAAGGAAAAATGAAGCAGCTTCATTATTTTTATGCATCTCAAGCCACAAGAGATTCCACTACCATAGTGGAAAACGGGTACACTGTACCTAATTAGGGTTTAGATTCCATACAGTGGAAGAATCTTAACTGTATAGATTCTAAATGTACAGTCTGATTAGTAATGACAAATGCTAAACCTGAATAATCGTCCCCTATCAAGATACAGAGCATCCCTATCAAACTAGAAAGTCCCCAGGGTCACTTCCTAGTCAGGCCTCCTTACCTCCCAGGGTCACTTCCTAGTCAAGCCCCCTTACCAGAAGTGACCATTACTCTAATTTCCATCATTATAGATTAGTTTTACCTTATCTAAGGAAACATTCAGTAAACACTTTTTTCAACAAAGCTTCTTTCCCTCAGCATCATGTTTCTGAGTTTCATCTATGCTGTTGTGTTCTAAGCATGAACATCTAAGCAGTTCATTTCTCTATACAGATGAAGCGCATACCATTGTATGAATATACCAGTTTATCCGTTCTGTTGACGAGCACCTGGGCTGTTTCCAGGTTTCAGCTACTATTAAAGTTGCAATGAACATTCTTTCACAAGGCTTTTAGTAGGAATGTCTTCGTTTTCCTTGAGTAAATACTTAGGAACAGAATTGCTGGATCATATGATAGACATATGATTAACTTTTTAAAAAATTGCTAAGTTTTCCAAAAGGGTTATATAATTTTACATTCCTGTCAGTAATGTACAAGAGATCTAGCTGCTCTGTACATCTTTGCCAAGTGCGGGACTGTCAGTCTTTTTCACTTTAGCCAATTCAGTGGATGTGTAGAGATTTCTCACCATAGTTTAAATCTGCATTTTTCCGGACGACTGATGCTATTGAGCACACTTTCATGTGCTTATTGGCCATTTGCACATCTTTTCTGGGGGAAATGTCTATTCAAGTCTTTTATTCACTTTTTAAAATGGTTTTCCTCTTGTTTCTTTAATTTTTTATTGAAGTGCAGCTGATTTACAATGTTAGTTTCAGGTGCACAGCAAAATGATTTGGTTATACTTATATATTTTCAGATTCTTTCCCATATGTTATTATAAGAAATTGAATATAGTTCCCTGAGCTATACAGTAGATCCTTGTTATTTATCTATTTTATATACAGTAATGTGTATCTGTTAATCCCCAATCCCTATCTTACCCCTCTCCCCACCCTTTCTCCCTTGTAACCAGTTTGCTGTCTATGTCTGTGAGTCTGTTTTTGGTTTCCAAATAGAATTTGCATCATTTTTTTAAGATTCTACATATAAGTGATATCATATGATATTTATCTTTCTCTATCTGACTTACTGTACTTAGTATGATCATCTCTAGGTCCATCCATGTTGCTGCAAATGGCATTATTTCATTCTTTTGTACAGCTGAGTAATATTCCATTGTGTGTGTGTGTGTGTGTGTGTGTGTGTGGGTGTGTGTGCGCGCCAGTCATCTGTTGATGGACATTTGGCTTATTTGGCTTGTTTCCATGTCTTGGCTATTATAAATAGTGCTGCTGTTAACTGGTTGCTACTTGTCAGGAAGACTCCTTGGCCACCTGTATGAACAATATCCCACCTCCTGGCCTTCCTCACTCTCCTACTTTACTCACCTGGCTTCATTTTTCTCCACAGTATTTATCTCTATTTGTTCACTTGTTTATTATCTGTCTCCCACAACAAAATGTAAACTCAAAGAGGATAGGATTTTTTTTTTCTTTACTGTTGTATTTCAGTGCTATAACAATGGTGGCACATGGTGGACACATAATAAATACTTGAAGATTGTATAAATAAATTATATAACCTATGAGGTACAATAACTAATTTGTATATATGTTATATATAAAAGCTGGCAAACTACGGCCCATATGTCAAATGTGGCCCATGGCCTGTTTTGGTATGGCACTCAAGCTAAAAATGGTTTTTACATTTTTTAAAGTGTTCTTTTAAAAAATCAAAATAAAACAAAACAAAAAAGAATATGCAAAAGAGATTATTTGACCTGTTGCCTAAAATATAATTAATTATCCGGCCCTTTACAGGAAAAGTTTGTGTACCTCTGCTATATCTGAATATCTGCAAAATAAAAACTTTCCAGGATAGAAGGTATGATCGATCAGCTAGTTAACAAATTTGTAAAACTTGACTCACTATATTTGGTCTTTGTAAGTACAGAGCAGTTCTCAGAACATTTATCCAGAACCATCCGTGGACCAAAGAGATTAGGACAGCACTCCAGTTTGATACAGGTTTGCCGGCAGAATTCAGTCACCCGATCTGCTGTTTTTACTATCTCAACAGTAGCTCGATAACTCTTTCCTTTGTATCTGCCATTGGAAGACATCAGATACAAGTTTATTGGGCTAGTGATTACACAGAGAAAAATCAAGTATATTAACAGTCCCGAAAAATATTTTTACTTCTTGGAATAGTCTATGCCCCTTACAGTTTGAAGACTATAAAAAAAATTAAGAATTTATATTGTACTTGAGTCAAATTTATAATCTAGTAAGTTATGACAACTGAAAGCTGAGTTTTTTATATTAGCAAAATAAGGTTCCAGCTTTCTGTTCCTAAGTTTAAGGTTTTCAAGTAATAAATTCTACACTAACTACTAAAAGAAAAGTGACTTTCATTAAATCTGTCTTTCCCCTAGAGCAGTGATCAGCAGAGTGTGGTCCATGGACCAGTATAACCTGTCACCCGTCTATGACAAGATCAGGTCAGAAAACAAAAGTAAATGTTTATAATCTTTCACAAGAACTTGCATAAGTGATTTTATGGCTCTTAAATCTGATAACAAAAAACTTGTTCCTGTATTTTCTTTCAAATTCTTTATTTCTTATAACCCATTTTTACCGTATTTTATAACAGTATTAGCCACCAACAGGATGGCAATATAAAAAACAAAACAAAAACAAAAACAAATCCGGTCCTTTACCACAAATAGTTGAAGCAGCACTGTCCAAGGGAACATAAATATCCTAATATTATCCATAAAAGAACCAATTCTGTTACCTGTTAAGGACAAATAAGAATAAAGAGCAGAGGGGCCCACTCACTTGGCCTTTAGGACTTCCCCACATCCATGCCACACAGAGTCTCTGTCCAGCTGCAGCTCCCGAAGGACACGACTGGGTTTATAGGCTGCGTTGATGAGTAAAGTGAGGACCTGTGCTCCATTATCAAAGCAGAAATATGGGTTGGGAAGGGGAAAAGCAGACCATTAGAACCTTGCCATCCCCTAGAATGTCACCTAGGTGGTTAATGCTAGTCATATTAATTAACAAATATTAATAAATAATAATACTGAAGCTATGACAGCTGACCAAAGCTGCAAGTAAGACAGTAATGAGACCCTCTTAAATATTCTAAACATTATGGTCAAGAGAAATAGGCACCACAAATTAAAAATTACTCTAGCATATGCTTCCAAATCCTTTCCCCTTCAAGGTACACACAGAAGCTCCGGCCTACCTAAGGCTTCTGAAAGGTTCAATAACCTCACATCTGTTACCCAGTGCGGCACCCGGTTGGGCAGCCCTGCAAGTTCAGCAGAAGCGTACACAGCTCTAGCGTGGTCCTGGGTTAATGCCACATAGCCTCTCAGGCTTAAGACTACTCTCACGTTCACTGCTGCACGGTCCTCATGAGGTCTCTGAAGGAACACCTTTCTACACTGACAGAGGGGAACCTGCTAGGTGAAGAACTGCCCTCTACAGAGCAGAAATAATTACGTGCCCAGTTCATTGTCCAATACATGAGGAAAGTGAGTCACATTTGATAACACCTAGAGCCGTCACATCCACGGCATATAGATCCTTATATGAATGAATCCACGAGACTGCTGTGAAATTCGCAAGTTCTTCTACTCTAGACAGGAACCTTACCTCTCTGAGGACCAGGACACAGTTTCCGGGTCCCACACATTGAGGCAGCTCCGCAATTCTTCCTTTGTTAAGATATGGCCCTGAGAAGCAACGGTGGTTGAAGTATATCTTTGGACAGCAATATTTTCCATTAATCATAACTAAGAAATGAAGAGAAACAAATACTCAGAACAGAATCATCTTCTACTCCATGTTTCCAAAGTTGGATTAGTGGGAGGAAAAACACACATATTCACCATTATATAAAGCTATGAACTACCTATTTTGAAGCTTAACATGTTGTCTGAACATGAAATACCTAATACTCACAACAAGTCTATTACAGAGCTATCTCTTTGCTGAAATCAAACAACATTCTTAATTACTGCAGATTAACTCTTGGTTAATGCAACATTGTTCCAGAGCCCCAGGCTTCTATCACTACAGGAAGTGGAGGATTTACTTCAAGAATTCATGATGATTCCTGAAGACCAACTATTCAACAATCTATTCTGGAGTATCTCTAGGGAGTAACGGTGAATATTGTCCAGAACAACAATTTGTCCTGTTAAAACTACCGAACTAGTGTGTTGGCAGCCTTTGATGATGTGGGAACCCTCTCACCTCTGGGGTTCCTCAGAGGGCTTAAAGTATGTTGTGACCACATCTTTAAATTCTTCAGCGATTGTGGGGTTTAACTGTGAACACTATACTCCAACAGAATGTTTTTTAAATCCTCCCATATAAGTAGCTGGCAATTCAGCTACTAAGTGTAAAGAACTAAAACATCTGTTTTAGTTTCAGAAACTAAAACATCTTCGTTTTCATTTTCCTACAAGCAAAGAGAAGCTCTTCTGATGGATACTGCCCTGTTAATCCAAAGGAAAGATGTGTTCACTGCCCACTGCTGTTAGGATCCCGCAGCACACACTGTTAACTCTCTAATTAAGAACTCAGTCTTAGCACAGCAGTCAGCATGTCAGCACCCACTTGTCCATTTTGAACTCTGAATCCAGATCCCCTTCTGGGGAGGCTCCCTGATACTGGAAATGTTGGCAGTTTACAGTTCTCAGTTTTAAATCTATCCCAGAATTACCCTTAGTCCAGAACTGCCCCTCTGTAGGAGACAGCCACTGTGCCCAAGGTCCCTTTGTGAGATGGGAAAGGAGCAGCAGCCCACTTCCAAGAACTAACACGTGAGGGAGTACAGGGGTGCGGCCACCACACCGCCACAGGACAACGGCTCTACACCAGTGCTAAGGCTCCCTGTGGGACTGGACAGGACTTCTGTTACAGCTGCATCATGGCTCATCTCCCTCTGCCCAATCCTGTGTCCTTTGCTCTTCCCAGGAGTGTTCCCCAAAGCTCCCCACCTCAATGAAACTCCTGCATGCATACATCAGAATCTCAGGTTCTATTTCCAAGGTAACCTGACCTATGACAAAACCCAAACCAAAAAGAATTTGGCTATGGTCACAAAAGATATTAATGTCTTAATTCTGTAGTTTCAGTAGGTATTAGAATGGTAATACATCAAAAATAGGGAGTCTTACAGCCCTGATCCTCTATATATGACATAAACAAAAGGCAGTGGGTATAGAAGAGATAAAATGATAGGTTTTGAACTTGAGAAAAATTTGAGTTCCCTTTTTGACTCTTCTACTCATAAGCTGTGTGACCTCTCCAAGCTTTGGTTTCTTTTCTTTTCTAGGCATTTACTAAATACCACCCCAATGCCTAATCCATGCTAAAATACATAACAGCCAAGATGCTAAGCATTATAAAACCAGCAAATGGTAGTCAAAAGCAGTTCCAATGAGAGACTCCTGGACAAAAGTCTCAGGCCTCCAGCAAGGATCCTTGTCTTATTTATCAGGCATTGTCTCTGGGACAATCTTTTTTTCCAGTGTTTTATTTTTTTCTTTAATTGTGAAATATATTTACAAAGTGTGTACAGCATACTAAGGTTTTAAAGAAGAATAAATGCCTACTTCTCAACCACCAAGCTTAAAAAAAGAGCATGACCTGGAAAGCCCCTTTACTTAAACACAGGGATGATAACATTGGCCTCCAGAGCCTTTAACACTGAAAAGTGATCAGTAAATAATAGCTAAATTATTATAAATGGACACAAAAAACAGCCTAAAGGTAATTATTAAGCTAAACACATCTTGGACAGTTATAATTCTTTAAAATCACAATTAAGAGACCCCTCTATAAAGCTATAGCCCATAAATCAAATATATTGTTTTATCTATTTTTAGAGATAGTCCATTAAAAGAAACTAAACGTCCTCTTTTCCATAAGATTACAAACAGTTATACCTGAGTCTGTGGAGTTCAGCTCCTGATTCTTCAGACCCTCATGGACAGTCCTTGAGGATGGTATTCTGGGCCAAGAAAATACAACAAAATAATCAGATAATCCTTAAAGTCGGTAAAATGTGAGGATTAGTTTCCTTCAAGTCTAAGAAGAAAGCAAATGTGGCAGATTGCAAAATCTATAACAAAAGGTGCTTCCTTGAATCACATTTAAAAAAAAAAAAACCAGCAACTGTCTTTAAAACTGTGTGCATATTATACAGGGACAAGTCTATAGACAGTGCTGTGGCAATGCATGTTCAAGTTAACTTTCATCCATGTGAGCAACAAATTATAGAATTCCTTGTGGGATTCTTAAACCACAAGTAAAATACAGATGGTCCCTGATTTACAGTAGTTCGACTTAATATTTCAACTTTATGATGGTGCAAGAGCAATATTCATTCTGTAGAAACCATACTTTGAATATTTTTTGTTTTTAAATTTTTATTGAAGTATAGTCTATTAGAATATGTCAATTTCTGGTGTACAGCACAATGTCCCAGTCATGCATATACATACATACATTCATGAAACTTGGATTTTAATCTTTCCCCTGGCTAGCGCTGTAGAGTACAATCCTCTCTCATGACGCTGGGCAGCAACCCAGTCAGCCAAAGACCGCACGTGTAAACAGCCAATACACTTACAACCATTCTGCTTTTCATTTTCAATACAGTGGTCAGTAAATTACATGAGTAGTCTTAGTACTATATGATTTTGTCTGACTACAGGCTAATGTAAGCGTTCCAACCATGTTTAAAGTAGGCTAAGCTATGATGTTTGGTAGGTTAGGTGTGTTAAACACATTCTCAACTTAAGATACTTTCAACTTAAGATGGATTTATCAGGACATAATCTCATCATAAGTTGAGGAAGATTTGTATTCATTTTTTTAAGATGAAGAACAGAAACTTCTCAGGCCTGCTTCCTTCTTCCAACAGTTTCAAAAGTAAATACAAATTAAGTTATAAAAATACAGAATTATTCCGTATGCAGCAATCACTGAAAATGGCTAATTCATCTTTAAAATACTTCCTGACTAAAACGTTGGATTAGTCTCAACAACTAAGTCAAGGAAAAACCCAAAGCCAGTTTTTTTTCACTATCTTCTCACTTCTCTACCTGGGACAGAATTGCGTAGCCTTTCTCTCCGCATCAGTTATCATATTTATTATTCACATAGTCACAAAAGCAGCTATAAATTCTACAGAATTTGCTGCAGACTGAACTGAGTCCCCTTAAACACATATGCTGCAGCCCTATACCCTGCCCTCCTCCTTGGCTGTGTCTGGAGATGGGGCTTTCAGGCAGTAAATAAGGGTAGGGCTCTAATCCAACAGAATGGTGGCCTTACAAGAAGAACAAGGAAGATCTCCTTCCTCCTCGCCACGCCACGTGAGGACACAGCAAGAAGACACCCATCGGCAAGGCAGGAAGAGAGCTCTGCCCAGGAACCAAATTGGGCTGATGCCTTGATCTTAGACTTCCAGACTCCAGAACTGTGAGAAATGTTTTTGTTGTTTAAACTACCAGCCTCTGGTATTTTGTTCTGGCAACCCGAGCTAAGATAGAATTGAAAACCCAGTTTTTAAAAACACACATGTACACACAGAACCATTGTATTTTTATGGCACCACTAATTCTTTGCTTCTCCAAAGCGTGGATGAAGGAAAGGGCTCCCTGATGGGACAGAGGCACTCCTCTGGGTGTGGCTTTTCTTGCAGAGTTGTTGTCTTCATCTTGTTTTTTCACTGTGACAAATCATATCCTGATTCACACTCTTTGCTCTTTCTTAACAAATACCAGCATAGAGACTGTCCTCTCTTACTCAAATATCTTCAGGGTCCAAAAGCCAAAGAAAACTCAATTTGGGGAATATCCTGAGAATGCACTTTACCCTTCTGTATATAACACTACCTTAGAAAATGCAATACTGTAAGGAGAAGTATGTAAACTACTAAAAGCTGAATTAAAGGATTTTGCTTCCATCTGAGAAAACAGATGAGGAGATACACTCTCTGAAATAGTTACTTCTTTTTCTAAAATCTAACTTTCAAATGTCAATTATTCAAACATACTATTATATTACTTACTGTTTTTCTGGTTGAACCACTGCAATTTTCCTCTGTTTGTTCACTGTAAAAAGAAAACAAAAATATAAACAACAAAATAAACAAAGGAAAAGTTTCTTACACATTAAGCTAACATTAGCATATAGTTGACCCTTGAATAACATGGGTTTGAACTGCATAGCTCTGCTTATACGTGGATTTTTTCTGCAGTAAATGCTGTAGTACTATGCAGTCTGCAGTTGGTTGAATCCACAGATGCAGAAACGCAGACAGAGACAGAGGGCCGGCTATGGCACTTGTGCATCTGCAGATTTTGGTATCTGTGCTGGGTCCTGGAACCAATCCCCCACATATATGGAGGGACGACTACACACAATTTACTGGTCTTTAGTATATTCAGAGTTGGGCAATTATCACCACAATCAATTTGAGAATATTTTCATCATCTCAAAAAGAAACCTGGTACCTGAAGCAATCACCTTCCACCTTCTTCCCACACCCGAGCCCTAGGCAACTACTCATCTACTTTTCCCCTCTCTAGGTGTGCCTGTTCCTATAAATGAAATCACACCACACAGGCTCTTTTGTGACCTGCTTCTTTCACTTAGCATATTGTTCTCAGTTTATCCATGTTGCAGTGTGTATTAATACCTCATTCCTTTAGATTTCTGAGGACTACTCCATTGTATAGACACCACATTTTGTCTATCCATGCATGAGTTAATGGACATTTGGACTGCTTCCACTATGAACGTTTGTGTACAGGTTTTTATGTGAACATACGTTTTCACTTCTCATAAGCCTGTAACTCTATGTTTAACACTTTGAGGAACTGCCAGATTGCTTTCCAAAGCAGCTGAACCATTTTATATCCCCACCAGAAAATGTTCATAAGAGTTGACTGACCCAGGGAGGCTTGAAAATATTATTTTGGGTTTTTGTATAAAGATATATCAATACTTATTTATAGTACTGGCTAGTTAAATATACACAGAACCAGGTTTTAAATACAGTTGACCCTTGAACAACACAGAGGTTAGGGGTGCTAACCCCTGTGCAGGAGAAAATTCATGAATAACTTCACAGTCCACCCTCTGCATGTGCGGTTCTCCATCTGTGAATTCAGCCAACTCAGGATTGTGTAGTACTGTCATACATATTTATTGAAAAAAATCCATGTTTAAGCAGACTCACACAGCTCAAACCCATACTGTCCAAGGGTCAACTGTACTTTAAAAGAGCAAATTTTATAGTATATAAATGATACCTCAATAAAGCTATTTTTAAAAGGGTGTGGTGGGGTGGTGGGATGTCACTTTAAGATTAGGTTACAAAACATGCTGACTTGCGTCTTGCTCTTACTCTCTGGCTTGCTGGCTCTGATTGAATACAACTGCCAGGCTGTGGGTTCCTCCTATGAAATGGCCCACACAGCAAGAAACTGAGGGGAGCCTCCAGCCAACAGCCAGCAAAGAACTGAGGCCCTTAGTCAAACAGCCCAAGAGGAAATGAATTCTTGCCAACAACCATCTGAATAAACGCAGGAATATACTTTCCCCCAGCTGGGCCTTAAGATGACTGGGATGACGACGGCCCTGGCGGACACCTGAATGCAGCCTCACTGGAAATTCAGACCCAGTGGACATAGCTAAGTTGTGTTCAGATTCCTGATCCACAGAAACTATAAGATAATAAATGTTTTGTTATAATAAATAATTTCCTATGTGGGAACAAATAACTAGATCATTTTATTTTTCTCTGAAATGTCGAGATTCATCCTATTTGGTACAGCCACACAACAGATTAATTTAGCAATCAATCCTTTGACCCAGAAATAGGCAGCTACCTCGTGCTCGGCGAGGAGTGCTGAGGGGATGGCCATTGGTTTCACACCAGCCCAAAGGAAATATATCCATGGATTCCACACTCACAATAAATTCAGGTATGGGTTTCTTAGAACCTGTTTAGTTTTAAAAAAAAAATTTAAGACCATTAAATAGCTTTCTTCATAAGCTACTTCCTAGACAATGTTCTATGGTTACAATAATACAGACACAAGTCTCTTAAGCTAGTTTCCTTTACACAGAAGTCATACTTCTTAATGTGTGACAAACACTAAGAAAAAAAAGACAACTGTCAACCATGCATATTTGTATAAAGACTAAAACGGGGAGTGAATATACAGGGTGACCCTTAGTGAGGGAATAGCAAACAAGCAATTGGAACTACCAGTAGTATCATTCAAATGGTTGACAAAATATGACAGTCAACTCCATGAAATAACTGGAAAATAAAAGGCAAAAGTGACAGTTTTACCCAACAAAAACATTAGTTCTGGTACTCAGGAACAACCTAGAAGGTAGATGGGTAAGCTCAATTCAGAGAGCAATGTAGACAAGTTGCTCAGCAGGTGCTGCATAAACATCTACATCCAACACTGTCCTTGATGTCGACGTTAAAGGCCAAGTCTACACACCACAAACAACAGTAGGTACCAAGTCTGACTATTTGGCAGCAGAATGAAAAAGAAACCCAGGCCAAATACAGTTAACTGTAGTCTGAGTACTCACATGGTGCTTTCTGTCCACAAATCCGTTCCACCACTGAATATTACTTTTAGTATAATGTATCTTTTTGATTTTACATACTTTTTGGTACTATTGGTACCAAAATATAATCTCTCAAATAAGCTAGGTATTAACGCTCACACTTGTATATTTTGGTCACATCAAAATATATGCTATTTGACATATACTTTCCCTTTCAAGAAAATAGGGGATCCTATAGTGAAAGCTATGTATTAACATTCATTTCCTAGAACTTGAAAGTCAAAGACAGAAAGATAAATCTTTAGCTTAGAGTCTTATATGACAAACTGGAAGTCTCAGAACAGGACCCCTATTTAGCTAACCAATTAATTTTATTAACAAGCCATATTACAGGGGTAAGCAGGAAAGCAAAGAACAGTTGTCAGAGGAAGGCTTTGCAGGGGTGTCAGCACTTACCCTCCAGCTGGAGCCATAGGTAGGCACCTCTCACTGCAGTAATGGTGGCAACGCACACTTCTTCAGGGAGAAGGGGGTTCACTGCCTCAAGCTTCATGTTCTCCTTAAATTCATGTTCAGAAATTGACTAGAAAATAAGTCAATCAAATCTAAATACATATTCAGTATTAACTCATGTGCTCAAATGAGAGAACTTTTCCAAGTAACATTTAACCCTAGAGTAACTCCTCCCTCCATTCCATACCCCAGGACAGTTGTCTCTTCCCTGTCCTACAGGAGATGGGATTTATCCTCCAAGGAGGAGGAAATACCCGGGCAGGAGGACACAGGAACTGCTGAGGGCATGCGTGCTGCTGAGAACAGGGGTTAGCATATGGAATGTTAAGAGGCCCAGTCCCTACCTCTGCCCTCCATGAAGGGCCTGGAAGAGACTTCATGTGGTGATATGACAGCACAAGGAGGAATACATAAATGTACAGATTAAGGCCTACCCAACAAATGGCCAGCCAGATCTTGCCCCACAGGGAAGTTCAAAGTTAACAAGTCCCACCCAAGTGCTCAAAGCCTTTTCTTGTAATCCCCTATTTCTTAAATATAAACAAACAAATTCCACCAAGGAACTACCAGACATCTAAAGATATGAAAACTAGAGATCAAAACAGACACAACAAGGAACTTAGGGAAAACAGATTATGTGAGGAGAAAAATCCTCAAAGGCAGGAGTAATTAACATGCTCTGAAAGGTGAAAAAACTATCGCATCCTTAAAACAAGAACAGTATGTTATTTAAAATATTCAGAGAACAGAAATAGTTTTAAAAAATTAAAAACATGATATCAAGAATTCAAAATTCAAAATAAGGGTTGTAAGATAAAGTTTAGGAAATCTTCCAGTAAGCAAACCAAAAAACCCTGAGAAACAAAAACAAAAGGGAAAAGAAAGAAAATTAGAAGTCTGATCTAGAGGGCCAACAAAATGAGAAATTCTAGAAAGAGAAAAGAGAAAGGAAAAGGAAGAAAACGAAAGATGAGATTCAAGAGACCCTCCCAGCATAGCGAGGCACGAGTGTCCAGAGAGAATGTGCTCGCCATGCACCCGCCCATGGGCCGTGCCACGGCTGGACACTGAAATGTAGTGACAAGAGAGACTCTAGGACCTTCCGGGGAGAGAGAAAAAAGGGCAGCTCATGTACGAAAGATCAAGAGTAAGAATGGCTTTCAACTGCTTGACAGCAATACTGGAAGGTAGAAAACAACTGATGTTTTCAAAATTCTAAAATGAAATAACTTCCAGCCTAAAACTCCACAATGAGTGAAACTATCAATCAAGTTGGTAGAATGAAGATATTTTCAAACACAAAAAGTCCACAAAAATTTACATTCCTTGTATCCCATTTCAGGAAGCTACTGAGAGACAGGCTCCATCAAAACAAGGGAGTAAACCAAAACAGAGGCCATGGAATATACAAAATTGGGATCCCCAAATCCTTAGGGAAAAATAATTCCTTGGGTGACACAGAAGGGAAGTTTCCAGAATTAAAACTACACAGCAAGCCAAGAGAGTATCCCATCTGGAAAGAAGGAATGGAGGTTGCTAAGAGGGCTGTCTCTAAATAAATATATTAGAAATCACAGATTTCCTAAAGTGCAAATAGTTTTTGAGTCTACTGGCAGCTGTAGGAAGAGCTAGCAATAGAAACAAAGAAAATCAAGCTATCAAAAACAAGGCAATTATTAACTTGAGGACAAACTAAAAAAGAAAACAATCATACAATACTGCAATGCTCACCTGTCAATAATATCTAAATGCACATAATATAAATACTCATATTCAGATTTAACCAAAAATTGTAGTATCATTCTAAAAGGAAAAGGAGATAGGTAAGATGGTGGAGAAAGGTAAGGTAAAATAGCTAGATTGCTCATTTACCGTAATACAGAATCAAGAGATAAGTCTAAAGTTAATGACTCAAAAGATAGCGTATTATTTTGAAAATGAGGAACTATAAGTATCAGAATAACAGTGTGGAGAATGGGACCTGAACACTTCTGGGAAGGGAAGCCATGGAAAGGGACAGAGCAGAAAACTGTTGTTTTTATTTTCTAAGCTTTTTGCTGCTGTTTGGCTTTGGTAAACCATAAGTAAGTTTAATAATTTTTCTCTCCTTAATATTTCAATTTTTTTCAGATTAATGAGCCATCAAAAATAATCATAAACCAAAATTTAAAATTCACATGATTTCAGCTAATAAGATGAAATAAACTGATAAAAAATTTTTAAACTAATTAACTTCCACAGTAAATGAAATTTTCCTGGTATCGTTTTATTACAATCAACAAGAGGCTTATTTGGGTTGCACGAGAGAACTGATTTCAGAGTAAAAATTATGAAAGCACAGCAGCCTGGAAGCCCCAAGCAGTGGTCTTGAGAGGACAGGACTCTCACCGGAGGGAAGCACCTCTGGGGAGCAGCTTCAGCACCACACTGTTTGAGGTAGTCGGCCCAATCAAAGTCCTGGCCCGGGTAGCCTGGGTAGGGACGAAAGAGCAATGATTCACACCACACGTGCTCATCTGGCTTTACCACCCTGCCAGGTATCCACCCACAACTTCTAATTTCACTAATTTGAGGACTTGGTCATTTTATAGGAGGGAAAAAACACCCTACAAATCTAAAGCGTTGTTAACTTTATAAAATAGAGCAACTCTAGATAAATTTTAAAACTTTAAAACTTCAAATCAAGCATTTATTTGAGCAATATTGTATATAATTAGTTGCTGATAATTTACAAAAAGAATTTAAGACAGTTATGAGTGGATTTGACTGTACTAATAAATCCAATTTTATTATCATTCTATTTTGACTTAGGCTCTAAAGGAAAAGAGACAGCAAATAATCTACAGCACTATTTAATCAATGAAGACTTCTTTCATAAAACTATTTTCTTAAGCATATGTTAACTACTACTGATACAATACTCCCAGCACAGTCTTCATGTTCTGCAGAATCTCAATGCTCTTATAATCTGAATCACGAATTCATTTCAGATAAAAAGTAGAGCTCAACTCCCCACTTACGTCTACAAAGTTCTTGATAGAAGCCCCACTAATCTGGTATCTTGACAGCACCGTCTGTGTGCCAGGAGCTGAACCGAGTCCAGCTGCCCCACTGTGTCTGAGCTCGTCCCTGCTCCCCAGAGCTCAATATTCCACAGGCGCACACTCAAGACCATTCTATCCCACAGACAAACAGCCTCTGTAATCACCTTGTCTTCCCACCTCAGACTGGCACCATGTTCTCTCTGCTTCCACCTCAATTCCTGATAGTAAATTATCTGCCATTTTCAATTATATAACCCACTATTTTCCTTCTGTTTTACCAAGATGGTTGAGTTGTCTATAACAATGCTGAAAGCTCCAATATCTTAAATAAAATTGTCGTTTCACATAAAGGCAGCAGGCAGGAAAAGGAACTTGGGATGTCCAGAGCATTCCTGCAAAGCAAGATCTTGCTCCTACAGATGTGTCCCCCACCACCATCAGCATCAGGTAGGCACTCCCACTTTGTTCATTGATGAAGAAGAACCTGGGGACTCTGTTACTGTTTTCCCCATTTGCTCATTAAAGGAACTGCCATTCTCACTTTTATTTCCCCAGTGACAGGCCCAATGCCTGGCTTGAAGCAAACATTCCACAAATGTTGGATGAATGAAGGCTGAATGGAAGACAAAGGTTCTGAGTCTGTGATTCTTGTTAACAGAAGAATACTTCCAGTTCCGTGTTCCAGCAGTCATCATTTAGAAACTGAAGCTATGCTTTACCAAAAGCCTACCAATAAAATGTACACATGCTGACAATCAAATAATCTGATTTGCTGACATAAAAATCAGATAAACACCTTATACTTACAGATAGCCTATGTTAAAAAATATTTACAATTTCAGCTCAGTGAAGTCATAGTTAACAGCCTTGATTAAAGGATCAAAGAATACATTTTTTGAAGTTGCAAACACAAGGAAAACGAGCTGCTTATTTTCCTACTTACAGGCTGAGTTCTACTCTTGACCATAAACCTTCCTCTGAAGTCCAAAGAGTCTCCCTCCAAAAGGAGGCCCAGAAACCTAAAAATTATCAACAATCTACCTCTTAGCCCTGCCACCTTTCAACAGACACAGATAGAACGGACTGAAAAGAGGCTGCATGGAACCCTGGGTTGTTATGAAGACACTTATCAAGGCAGTAGGACAGAACACACTTTATTTACTAGTTTCTAAGCTAAATTTATAACTTTTAAACATGCAGATATATGGAATCTAGGCCTTCGTTTATGTCCTGGGCCCCTAATACATTAAGGACAGGTTGGGGTGTGAGGAGAGAGGGGGACAAAACATCCAGGTAACGCCATCTGATAACTCTCATTTTGAAGCAAACAAATCGGAACAAACGAATACACACCAGGAGGGGGACTGATGTGTAAACCGTTCTTCAGACCCCACTGCACCGGGAAGATACCAGGACTGTCAGCGTGGCACACGAAGGATCGCTGGGCACGATTCTCTGGTCGCAAATCATCCATTTCCACCAGAAAATACTTTTCATCAAAAACCTATATGTACAATTTAACACATAATACAGACAAATGGTTTTGAGTATACATACACACATACACACGTCATTTCTTCGGCATAGCTGAGCGTGTTATAAAAACTCATAGCCACGTTAATAGTAACACTGAGTGTGTTTGAGTAATTCTACTAAGCATTCAATGAATGTTCTCTCTGTGTCAGGCAATGTTTTAATTAAATACTTCTCACGTATTAATTCAGTTTTAATCTTCCTAATAATTTAATGAGGTACCATTATCAAGCCTATCTTGCAGATAAGGAAACAAGAGTTTAAAAAGCAGTTAAATAACTTGCCCCATGTTATACAGCCAGGAAGAAACAGAACCTAGATTCAAATCCAAGTAGTTGAGCTCCAAACGAAATTTAGTTTATGCTGAGTGAGGAGTCAACTATACCAATTTATTAGATTTTCAGATTCTAGCCTAGTTTCAAATGCCAAAGAGGTTTTTACGAACTTCTCTGGCTCCTTACCACCCACCCTTCAGACTCCAGAAAGGACTTTCTGGCCCTGCTACAGGTTCAGAATCCCTCCTTCATCTAAGAATAATCTTCTAAGGCATGAAAAATTTAAATCTCAACAGGTCAGAAGATTCAGCCTCCAAGTAACTATCCCTCTTATCACACGTTTGGTTCTACTTTCAGTAAATGGGCTTCTGCTCTAGTCCTAAAACAAAATTTTCTCCCTTATGCCTCAGTTCTAAGTAACTGAGTAACTGGGCTTTGACAACTTGCCCAGTTCTTGCGGTCATTCCTAACAAGAGCCTTACTTTGGTCAGTGATCCAAAAGATTAAAGTCTGGATCTGGAATCCACAGCTACAACAACCCTACTGGCCAATCCTGGGACACTTATCAAATGCTTCCCACACATCTGCTCACTGAGTGAGCCCTGCTCCTGGGTGCACACTGATGATGCTGCCTGCCTCCACAGTTTCCAGATACCATGGGCTACCTGTCCATTAAATCTCCTCTAGTTATGTACAGCGAGGCTGCCCCAAAGAATGTGTGCCCCAGGCTTTGGCTGACTGGGGTGACCAATCTCTGAAAAAGGAATGGGCCACAGAGAACTGGACACTGAAAATGTAAAATGTGCACAGAACTAATTCTACCGTCACAGCCTGGGAAAAACAATGGGCTGAATTAGTAGTAGAGCCTCAAGATCAAAACACTACAAATTTCCTACACCAGTCATCCTGACAAGAATTCTTACCAAGAAAGTTGCCTCCATTTTACCTTAACAACTGTAGCAGGAGAGATCCCAAAAGGAGACCAGGGGTCTACAGCTTCCAATTTCATATTTATAGAGAATGAATGAGTGCCAATCACTTGTTTGTCCTAAAATGCAAATACCAAGAGGGAATAAAAATATACTAACTGCACATTACTTTTATACTCATATACAGCTGAATACTACTCAATTAAAACAATGGAACTGTCCAGCTTCTAGTAAATAATCTAATCCTAAAATTTTCTTCCTGGACTGGAAAAAACTATTCAGGAAAAAAAACCACAGGAAGTGCTCCTACTCTCCATATTGGACACAAGGACCATCTGGAGGAAAAATAAGTTTATTTTATTACAAGTCAGGGCTATGTAGTTAAGAGTAGAAAAGCCTCAAAATGCTTTAAGGGCAATTCAGGAGAAAACCCAGATTACTTTTAGGGAGAGAAAAGAAAAGGATGATCTTCACTCCGGCCTTCAAACCTCTTCCCTCCCTCAGACATTCAGACATGACAGGCTCTCACTGACGCCAGGGGTTGTTTTACACTCTGCACCTCCCCACGGTGTTCTACCCTGCTATGAGAAGAAGAGCACCCATCCATCACGTTTTTGTTCTTACCTTAAACAAGTAAGATGGTAATGGCTCTTCCTCCTCCTCTTTCACTTTGGCCAAGACCTTCTGCCACTCGGCTTCATTTTTCAGATGTCTGATGGCTTTAGTTAAAACAAGACAGGATGCTTTAAATGATGCAAGAACTTACGCAATTTATAACTTTTCTGAAAGCATTCACATAAACAAAAAAGTCACTTTCCACTGGGAAAAGGAAAGAATTCAAGCCCACTTTTATCATCTTTACTCAAAGAACCTGCACTTTAACTTCAGTACTTTGTCTCCTCTGTTCAGAGTCAGGGTAGTAAGTTTGGTGAAAACACCTAGAGTAAGATCACAGGGATTGCTGTAGTCCACAGAACAATGTAACATCCAAATTGGGGCACATAGTGAATGTAAGTTGATTTAAACAATAACTCCTGATTTAATGTTAGTGGAATTTCTTTTAATCAACAATTTGGTTTGAACTCAAGGCCTGTCCTACTCCTCTACCTGAATGTTACATAGAGAATTTTTCTTTAATTTTGGTAAGGGGTCAGTATGAATTGGGGCTGAAGGTATATCAATATGCGTGGCAAATGACAGTTAAAGTAACAAAACTGAAAGAAAAATAGGCATTTAACTACTCCATATACATTTTTACCAATCTATTATGCAAACTAACAAAGGCTTTTGTAATATATAGAATAATGTATTTTTCAGTCTCATAGATATTAATGAAAACATAATACAACAATTATGTAATACTAAAAGAAAAACTGCTCTTCACCTAATGGGGGCTGAAGCTCATATCCCTGTTGATCAGCCCAACCAACATGATGAAGAAACGGATCCAAGTAATACAACCAATGTTCAAAATTATCAGAATTTTCAAGTCCTTCGTAACGCAGCTTCAGCCTTCCCCCAATGTTGTCTACTACAGTAACAATCCAAGTGCTTAAAGAGTCCTGGAAAGCTTGACGTTCCAGCCTGGAACCTGGAGCAATGAGATCTAAAGGATTCCTCCCATTACGGAGCTATAGGTTTAAAAATAAAAAAAAGTGAAATGATTAAATAAGAGAGGAAACATATTTTTAAAACTCAAGTTTTAAATGAACTCAAACTAGCCTTTATATTTTTACTCATCCAAAGCCAGTGACAGTGAATCGCCTAATATTATACAAGTCTTTATTATTTCTGGTGATACAAAAATATTTACCTTAAAGAAAATTTACCTATAATGCAATAAAACTATTCTAACAGATCTCTATGATTATGTGATACAGTTTCACCTAGAAAGAATTTTCAAAATATCATTACTACTTAGTCTCTGTAAAACCAAATATGATCATCATTAAAAAAATCAAACACAACAAAAGTCACAATCCTCAACAATCTTACCTCCAAGAAAGAACCATAATAAACACTTTGGCATATGCTCTTTGAGAACACATTTTCTACATACAAGTCAACATCCACCAGTGTCTGTTTCTCTCATATGTTTTGAAAAATGTATATACTGTTTTTCAACGTGTGTCTGTCACTTAATACTTTATAGCTATCTGTCTATTATAGCAGATATAAATTCTTTTAATCTGTTTTATTGATATTCTATATTATAAATGGGCAGTAATTTATCTACTTATTACTCATGGCATTTCAGTTATTTCATTTCACAACGTTCTTATGAACACAGTAAGCATTTGATTACACTTATGGAAATGGTAAGTTTAATTCTCTCTCTAGATACATATTAAAAGCTACAAAAAAGAATAAAAATAAAAGCTGATTCCAATATCATCACTTAAATATTTAATATTCAAACTTATATTTTTTTCCTAGTAAAAACTACTCTATGACACTTACATGTTCATATCTATGCAAAAGAAGACATGAACAAATGAAGGAACACATTCACAGCTAAAGATTAGGATGGCAGAATCAAGGTCAATGTAGAGCAGAATATTTATTAATTCATTTTGATCATGATTTCATTCATTTCAAGTTACTGAGTGTTTAGCCAGGCCCTGATTAAACATAATGAAGTCAGAGTACAGGCATACCTCCAAGATACTGTAGTTTAGATTCCAGACTACCACAATAGAGTAAATATCTCAATAAAGTGAGTAATACTAGTTTCTTGGTTTCCCAGTGCATCTAAAAGTAAAGTTTACACTATATTGCAGTCTTTTAAGTGTGCAATATAGCATTATGTCTAAAAAAAAAATGCAAACACCTTAATTTAAATATACAAAACAAAAAACAATTACAATAGTGGCATCAAAGATCACTGATTACAGATCACCATACAAATATAATGATAATGAAAAAGATTGAAATATAGCACAAATTACCAAAATTTACCACAAAGTGTAACAGAATATAACAGAAACACAAAGTGAGCAAATGCTCTTGGAAAAATAGCACCTACAGACTTGCTTATCGGGTTGCCACAAACCTTCAATTTGTAAAACAATGCAGTATTTGCAAAGTGCAATAATGCAAAGTGCAATAGAGGTATGCCTGTATAAAACGTAAAGATCACCTCGAAACAATGTTCACCAATCAAATTTTAAAGGGGAATAAACCATAGAATTAAACTGAAGAGCTAAAATGATAAACCATTTAGGAGAAAATACAGGGGCAAATCTTCAGGACTTGGATTAAGCAAAGCCTTCTTAAATAAAACCCAAAAAGTACAAGCAACAAAAGAAAAAAACACAGATAAATTGGATTACATCAAAATAAAAAACTTTTGTTCTGCAAACGGTATCATCAAGAAAGTAAAAAGACCATCTACAGAATTAGAGAAAATATGTGAAAATCATATATCTGATCTTGGATATGAACTCCTGCCACCGAGCCCTGAGGAAGGGTAGGGTGCAGCCTCTCTGTTGTAGCTAGTGTATGCCGGGCCCTGGCCCCCCGACGCTGGTTCACAGAGCTTTTTTTTATCCCTTGAATCATGAGCATTCAGTCTTCCCTATGGGTATGTCCTGTTCTGTAACACACGTGTACATATATGTGTCTGTCAATAAAGCTGACGCCCCATTCTAGACTTGTAACCAGAATTTTATAAGGAACTCTTACAACTCAGTAATAAAAAGACAAACCCAATCTTAAAATGGGCAAACATTTCTGCAAAAAAGATATACAAATGGAGAAGAAGCACACAGAAAGATGCTCAGCATCATTAGTCATTAGGGAAATACAAATCAAAGTGAGAGACTACTTCACACCCACCAGGATGCTATAACCAAAAAGAGAAAAAAAGCATTGGCAAAGATGTAAAGAAATTGGAACCTTCATAAACTGCATTTCACACATGCTACAAAAAATGTAGCTGGTATGACAGAAAGTAACAAAATAACTTAGAAATGTCATAATCAATAATCAACTTCACAAAACAAGAAATCTATATTCCCCAACAAGCTCAAAAGCTCTACTAATTTAAAAGAGCTTCTGAAAGCAGGTAGGTGGTGGTCCAGTATCTTCTGAGCAAAAGAAAAGGGGATCTCAAGTCACTTGGTGAGGGAGTTAAATATGCTCATCCTGAAGCTGAGTCAACATCTTGCTCAGTTCCAAGTGAGAGCTCAAAAAGGTTCACTGCATGAAAGAATCTGGAAAATTAAGTTTTTATGTGTTCGCAACTAATTCAAAAACATTTTGGCACTGAACAAGCCACCAGTTTGCAACCTCTGAGAGTAAGTTTAAACCTCCCAATACCCATGCCTATGTCTGTAGTGATAATGTTTATTTGCCTTGGAGTGGTAAACAATGAGAAATTTTAAGATTCCTCGGACAGGATATATCACTGAAGATTAGAAGGGTTTTCCACACTGATTGCAGAAGCAATAATACTCACGCCCTCTAGCAGCGGAACAGGAGGACTACATGCTCCCATCAGGGTCTGCTGCAGAAACGCATCCCAATCAGACACTTTATCTCTGATGCCTACAAGAAGAAATAAATGAGCTATTACTCATATTGTCAGTCACAAAATACAGAGAAACTAAATGAAACAGAATACAGAGAAACTAAACAAGTGAAAATGGTTTAGACATGCATTTGTCATTTTAATATTTAAATAAGAGTCCAACATATTGCTTCTTTGAAAGCTTAAAAAAACAAAAAAAAGAAATCCTTCTCCAGTTAGGGCTATTTCCTGGTTAGTTTAATAAGAATTGTATCCAAAACAAAGAGACTAATTCCAACTCCCTGTGAGTATAATTTTATCCAAAAGGTACCTACTTATTTTTCATTACAATTTCCAGCATTCAGAAAAGTAGAGAAAACAGTTTAATAAATCCTCACGTACACTAGCATCAACAACTGTCACTTCATAATCAATCCTTCCATCTAGATCAGGAGTTGTTAGTAAACTACAATCTGCTGTCTATGTTTGTAAACAAAGTTTTATTGGAACACAGCCATGGTCATTTGTTTACATACTGCTTTCACATTACAAAGGTAGAGTTGAGCAGCTGTGACAGAGACCACAGGGCCTGGGAAGCCTGAAATACTTTAATGCCTGGTCTTTTACAGCTATTTTTACCAACCTTGATCTATATCCTCACATATTTCACCCCCACTCAATCCAATAACTCAACTGGATTATTTAGAAACCAATTCCTGATACTGTGTTAATTTCATCTAATATAATCTCAGTATGTATTTCTAAAAGAAAATAACTTTTAACATAACCAGATTAACATCAACCTTAAAAAATTAACAATAATTCCTTAATATCAAATATCTAGTCCATGTTCAACTTTTCTAAATTTCTCAAAAATGATTTTTTCAATTTGTTTGGTCAAATCATGATTCAAATGAGATCTCTATATTGCAAATGGTTAAAATAGCAACTAAATCTCTTTTAATATGTACATTCTTTCTCCTCCACACGCTCCCTCTTTTTATCACAATATTTAAGAGGCTTAGCCTTCTGTCCCATATAGAACTTTTCAGTCTGGTTTTACTGCTCACTCCTTGTGGTAACCAGCTGCTCTACTGTCCTCTACATTTTTTATAACTCAGAATTTAGATCAAGAGGCTTGATCGAGTTCAGACTCAACTCTTTGGTGGGAGGGAGAAACCACAAGATTACTTCATAAGTAGAGTTGTATCTTTTCATTAAGAGGCACTTCAGTCCTGTTATCTCTTCTTCTGTGATGTTAGCAGCTTTTAATGGTCACTACATAGATACAATGATTAATTGCAGGCTAAAAACTGTGATAGTCTATCCCCCTTCTTCATTTACTAACTGAAATAGTTCCACAAAGAAAATTTTCTCTTCTTCAACTATTTGATCACAAAAAGAAGACAGGATATATGCTTGATTCTCTTTATTCTTTCTCTGTATTTACCAGCCTTCAAAATTATCAGTCAGTTCCCTAGCATCCTCCAAAGGTGATCAATGAGGGTTTTGCTTAGAAGTTTCACGATGAAGTTATAGATTAAATCACATATATGTTCCCGGCCACTGCAGCTATTGTCCTGTTGATGCTCAAATTGTCTTATCTTTGAGAGGGAGGGTATACCTCAGTGGTAGAGTGTGTGCTTAGCATGTACAAGGTCCTAGATTCAATCCTCAGTACCTCCATTAAAATAATAATAATTATAATAATAATAAATAAATAAACCTAATTGCCACTCCCTCTTTAAAAAACTTTTAAAAATACTGCATTCTATTAAAAAAAAAGTGTCTTATCTTTAAGAAGGAGACTCATCAGATTGGCTCCAGAGTCCTTTACATAACCCTAGCAAACAGTCATTGCTCTCTTTTTCACTTTTGGTATAAAAAGATATACCATCTTGTACATGTCCTGACCCAGTCCAGGAATCCACTCCTAGACTCCTCCAAGGAGTCCTAGTTGGTTTCAGTGAAAATGGTATTTAGAGATCATAATTGGGGTGCTGAGGGTGCTTAATGCTATTGAATTAGTGTTTTTAAGCCATTTCAGTGTCTAGAAACAATAAAATTTTAAAATTTTTATTTTATTTATTATTTTTTGTGGGGGGAGGCAGTTAGGTTTACTTACTTATTTTTAGAGGAGGTACTGGGGATTGAACCTGGGACTTTGTATATGCTAAGCACAGGCTCTAGCACTTGAGCTACACCATCCCTCTCTAAATTGTATCTTAAGATACTTTCAATACAATTTCAGGAAGAGAATGTTTTCACTTAACTTCATCTAAGTTTTGTTTCCTTTCTCTCATGCTGAAAATCCTAGTTCTCAATTATATACTGTATTATTAATATGCTCTATTCCATAATATACAAATAATAATTCCAAAATAACATCAACTCTACTATCAACAATATGATTACTAAAAACAGCTTGAGTTGTTGTTTTGGCATTTTTTTGGTTCCTTCCGGCGTATCTCTACTAGGGATGTATTTTTAAATAACTGCATTTGAAAGTCACTGAAATAGTTCTTCTCTGTGTAGTTACTTTACAAGCTCCATATACAGTTAGGCCTATCTGTTTTTTGTGTTTTAGAAAGTGCTTTTTTAAATTTAAATTTTATTTTTTAAGTTATATAAAATATGAGGTTCAAAATTAAAATCCACAAAATAAGGTACATTCAGGAAATCTGCCTTTTATCCTTGTCCCCTTCATTTTGTTCCCTTCTTTCCCCACAGGTTAACTTTTTTAAATGGTTTATTCCTTTATTTTTAAAAAATGAAGTTCACAAACACACACACACATTCATACGTTCTCCTCCTCCCTCATTCTATGCACATTTTCTTTATTCATACTGTTAAGACGTGTGGAGAACATTCCTTGGCTGTCTGTAGATGGATTGTCTTCTTTTTTTTAATCAGCAATGGCAACTTTTATCATTATAAAGTACCCTTCTTTGTCTCTTATAATGGTTTCTGATGTGAGTTCTACCTTTGTCAGATATCAAGACTGAGGCTCCTACTTTCTCTTCTATTTGCATTTGTCTATGTATCTTAGTCCTTCCTTTTATGTTTACTCTTTCAGAATCTCTCCATTTAGGTATGTCTACTGTACAAAGCAGAGAAGTGGGTTTTACTCTGTGAGACAACCTGGACTGTTTTTATACTTTTAATAGAAGAGTAAGCCCATTAACTTCTTTACATTATCAGAATGTCAGGCCTCAATTCTGTAATACTGTTAAATATTATATAAATTATTCGTGTGTGTGTACAGTCTTTCACTATATGATCTATTTTATTTTAATATATAATTTTTCTTTTTAAAAATCAATCTTCTGTCATTTACAAAGGTTTTATTCTTCTGGTTACCTTTACAGTAATATCTTTATATAACAATTTTAGTCTCTTCTACTTTTGGATTATTTTCTATTTCTTTTCTTTAATAAACAATACTAAAGTTAGCTATAACCTCTCCTCTTCTTCAGCACCTCATTTCAGGTAATAGCCTTTTATCCCAGTTAACACTTAAAAGGCAATTAGTTAAATTACTATGCAATAAACCTGTTCAAACAAAAGAAGGAGCAATGAGTAAGCTTATACCACTATTCACATGTTCTCCTTACTGTTGTCCCATATTTTTTATAGGCATACAGTGTTTATGTTGTCAGAGCAGGTAGCCATTACATACTATACTGTCTTCCTTAATAACCACCATTTAGTTCTAAGTTCTACAATGTATATAGATTTAGTGTTTCACTAACAGTTCTTATGCTAATACTTCTTTACTCCTTTGGTTTCCTGAAGCTCATTTTCTAGTGAATTTCTTATGAAGGGCTCATGGGAACAACACTCCCTCAATCCTGACATCTTCTTAACAATTTATATGTGTCCTTTACACCTGAAGTTTAGTTTGGCAAGACATAAAATCATGGCTTCATATTTTCTTCCACTGAATTTCTTACATGTGTTACCCTATTGTCTTCTGGCATAAAGCAGTGTTGTCAATTAGTCTGATGACAATCTTGTTTTCTTTCCTTTTCAAGAAACTTAGTATTTTTGCCTACATAACCAAGGGATTTTTTTTTTGCTTTAGAGTCCAACACACACCTTGATGCAGCTGTCCTCCTCTGATTTCCCCTGGTACATAATGAGCCCTTTCAATATGCATTTTAAGTACTATTTTATTTCAGTAGTTTTTTTGAATTTTAGTTTACAATATTTTATTGTTTTATTGCTTTCATTTTCATCTTCAGGGATTTTTATTTTATGAATCTTGAACCATTTTTGCCAACCTATGTTATTTTTTCCAAGTCCTTTTTATTTCTTTATTTCTTTCTGTATTTAAATTTTTTCCCCTTTTCACCTTTTTCTCTTCAGATATTATTCATGACTGATTCTTTCCTGTTTTCATTTTAAGTTAGTCTTTATTTCTAGTTTTTTTTTTAATATTTAGTTCTTGCCTACCTTCCACTTTTATTTCTTTTCAAATTTTCCTTTTCTCCAATTATCTCATTTTTAAATTTTTATATTTTACTTATGACTTTCTCACTGCTCTATCATTGTTACTACTTTATTTTACTTTGTTTTCAAATGTTTTTGTCTGACATATTGTTCACCTTTTTTGTGGTTATGTTTCCCTGGAAGGATTTTATTCTACACTTTTTTCCTCTTTTTTTGTTATAATAACTTAACCTACATTGTATAAGACTCAGCTGAAATCATTTTCAACATGTTTAAATGAGGTGAATTCTCCTACACTCTTAAAGTGAGATGAGAGGCCAGGCAGCATCCTGTCTCTAGAGCTTCCTCTTACATTGCTTCTTCACAAAATGTTGCCAGCTAGCTAGCTAGAAACCTACCGATGCCCCAGGACCCTAACTCCCAGATCTGCATTTCTAAATACGATTCTTCACCAAAAAACCCCCCAAGATTTCCTGGAGGAATGGCTGATTTCAGGGTTGAGGCAGGGAAAAGTTTCCTGAACCAGAAACTACTGAAGAATAACGGGAAGAGAACAAGGGACACATTTGCCAGCGTGAAGGGGTGCCCACTGGCCAAGTCTAGGACAGTATGAGCATCAAAATAAATAATGATACACTGGAATTTGACACAACATTGTAAAATGATTATAAATCAATAAAAAATGTTAAAGAAAAATAAATAAATAAATAGATACATAAATAAATAAATAATAGTAAAGGATTATAAATAATCTATATATTGAATAAAGTAAGACATGCGTCTACACTGACATACATACCTAAATACATACATGCATATGTAAATGTATGTGTGTAAATGGGGGAAAGGGAATGCTCTTTCTATAGTACAAAGCCAATTATGAAATGTAGAAGGAATTATAAAATACTATTTGGTAATCATTAGAGTAATAATTGTTTCAGATATAAATTATCAATGGATGCTAAAAAGAGTAGGTGAAGTTTGAAGAGCAATAATCTTAAAGTATCTTCCCACAAGATACTTAATTAAAAACCATAAAAGCAATTTTACAGTAGAAAAACTTGGCATATACCAACTTCAGTGATGAAAGTTAATATAACCAGCTAGTTACGGGACAAACCAACAGCATCTGTCTCCTGGTATGCTGCACTAGAAGGACACAGTATCACTCCATATTTTTCCTACCAAAAGTGCACAATCTGAATCTAAGGAAATAGACCAACCCAAATTGTGAGAGATTCTATAAAATAACTGGTCTATACTCTTCAAAAACATCAACACCAAGACAAAGAAAGGCTAAGAAAACCAAAAAGACGTGACAGTCAGATGCAATACATCATCCTGGACCAGGAAAAGAAATGGGAAATAATGAACAGTATTGGGCCCAGGACATAATGAATATTATTGGGAAAACTGGCCTTTTCAAAAATGTCAGTCATTAAAGACAAAGAAAGCCTGCAGAACTATCACAGATTAAAGGAATCTTATGAGACACAACAAATGACTGCAACACATGACCTGGGATTTTCTTTTACTGTAGCAACATTTTACTATAAAAACATTATTGATAAAACTGAACAAGGTCTATAGATTAGATAACAGTATTGTATCAAGTTAATTTCCTGATTTTGTTATTTTATTGTATTCATGAAGGTCCTTGGTTTTAGAAGTATATTTAAGTATTTAAGAGTAAAAGGGAATCATACCTACAACTGACTCTCAGTGCTTCATTAAAAAAGCATGTGTGTGGTGCGTGTGTGTAAGAGAGAGAAAAGGGAGTGAGGGAGAAGGATAAGGTAAATGTGGTAAATGTCAGTGTTTGGGGAAACTTGGCAATAAATCCCCAAGAATTTTCTATACTATTTTTGCAAATCTAAAATATTTCTGTAAATCTGAAATTATATCAAAATAAGAAGTTGAAAGGAAAATATGTAAGGTCCTGAGTTTTCTTAAATCTGCAGCCTCTATTCCCTTTCTCTGCATTTGTATCACTCTTCTTTCTTTTGTCCTATTGTCTCTGTCTTGCTTAATTTGGATTCTATTCCCAGTACTGCTCTTTCCCAAAAGGGAGCTTCAGCTGGTTTATTTTAATAGTTCATAGGTCCCAGATCACTTGTGAGTGATAGGAAGGAAGGATAATAAAACCAGAAAGAGACTCAATCTGGCCCAGTGTACTTAAAAGACAACCAGACCTGCAAGTCTCCAACTCAGAGAACCTCACAGTCCTATGGGGTAATTAGCAACTGATGCTCCCTATGATTGTCATAAAAGCCTGAGGCTTACATAGCGCAGAAAATAACTTTTTTTGAGTTTTTTGTTTTTTTGTTTTGCTTTGGGGGGAAGTAATTAGGCTTATTTATTTATTTAGGTGGAGGTAGTGGGGACTGAACCCAGGACCTTGTGCATGCTAGGCATGTGCTCCACCCCTGAGCTATACCCTCCCCCACGAAAATAATTTTTTAAAATAGGGAAACGTACATAATTCCTTATAAATATTTTCATTCAAAATGCTAACCCAAAGAAGTTAGGGAGACCTCTGTGCTTGGGAGACTAAAAACCTTAAGATTGTGGACAGTCCAAATTTTCCTACAGCAGTACCATATCACGTCTTCATGGGAAGTATCTCATTACCTTCTGGGGCTTCGAGGGTCTTCTTGTTCTGCTTACACCACCCAATGGGGTAGAGGTCAGCCTTCCTGATATCACACCAAAAGTCTGCTCTCCGGTCCTCCCCGTAGCCATCATAGCGGAGGAGGAGCAACTGCTCACAGGTGGTAATGATGGTGGCAACCCAGTAGGTTTCAGGATCTGTTTTCACAGCTACCTCCAGTTTCATCCCAGGAGCAAATCCATTTTGCAAACGTGTGTCCACCTGAACAGGAAAATGTTATTAACCACCATAAAAGCATCTCAAATGAGCATTTTTTTGATCAACATTCTTTAAGACTTACAATTCTGAAACACTAAATGCAAAAAAATCTTCTCAAGAGAAACTTGAGAAATTTCAATTTTAACTCATAGGAGTGATCCAAACAAAACAGGGGACAAACAGCAATAATGCTCTGTTCCATCTGACTCTGAAGGAGTTTTAACAGAAATCAATATTTTCACCAAAGCAGTCGATTATGATTATAGAAAATGTTTTCTATTAAGTATATAAATCACTGAATGTTTACCATTCTAACAACCTTCAACACATTAAGTTTTCAACAGTGACTTTTGGCTCATTAAAAAGAAAATTTATGAAGCTAGAAAAGGTAAAGGACAAAAATAAGTTATACTGGTAATAAATTAGTATAATATTTATTATTATACAAGGGAGCCATACTTCCCAGTTTCCCTCAAACAGCTTGTGTTTACACCTGTTATCCTTGAATAATATTAACACCTCTTATCTCTCTCAAAAGTGTCTTAATATACATGATAAATCATATGGTCACAAAAGTATGAGTCTTCAATTCTGAAACTACTGATGTGTATACTAAAACTAAATAAATGTATTATGGATAATGAGAGCCAAGTTTCTCACTATGGGAGGAAGAAGCAAAAATAAGAAAAGATGTGAATGAACCTTGTGGTGTTGCACTGAATAAGAGGTATGGATGCTGAAGTGACCATGATGACTTTGATACCTGCATAATCTCAAATATCCTCCCCACAAAATTCCTAGTAGTTGCAAAGCAGAAAACAATAACATTACAGTGAAGAAACCTGGCAGACACCACCTTAGCTAGCTGATCAAAGTTAACATCAACAGTCCTAAAACACCAATATCATATACCCTTGACATTAAATAAGAAAAGAACATCATTTCTATAACATTCTTGCCAAATACATAAACTCAAGCTAATCATGAGAAAAACCAAACCCAAAATGACAAACTTTATACAAATTAACTGGTATGTGACATGCACTTCAAAGTGTCAAGGCCGTGAAAAAGAACGAGAAACTGTCATGCATTGAGGAGACTATGGAGAAATGACAACTAAATGCACGTGGCCATCACAACCACTGGAAAGTGAGGGAACTTGGAAAGGAGAGGACAGAGAAGGACAGTCCCACATTCTGTGTAAAACCTCCTCACCATTCTAATCACTTACCTGCTCCTGAGAGGTAATCACTAACCTGAGTTACACCACTACAGTTTAATCTTGCCTCTGTTTTATCATTATGTTAGAATTATGCAGTATGATTGTTTTTCAGCATGAGGCTTTCTTGCCCAACACTGTTTTTGAGATTCATTCATGTTACTGAATGTAACAGTATTTTATCTCTTTTCACTCTTGTATATATTCCTGTATATTTCACTCCATTATACAAAATGCTATAATTTATCCATTCTAATGCTCCTAGTTGTAGGTACTTTGGGTAGTTCAGCTTTGGAAGACTACTAATAATACTGTCATGATTATATGAGTATTTTTGTGTCACCTGATGCATTGATTCCTGTAATAGAAATATACAGCCAAACTGTTTTCCAATGTGCTGCACCAGTTTACTCTTCCAGTAGTGTATGAGAAATCCTGTTGCTTCAACATCCTAACCAACATTACTGATTTTCAGCCTTTTTCTTTTTAACCATTTTGAAACATGTATTATCTCACTGTGATTTTAATTTGCACTTTCTGATTATTAATGGAGTTGAGAACCTTTTTATTTATTAGCCATTTAGATTTCTCCTTTTGGGAAATGCCTATGTTTATTGTCAATTTTTTATTGAGTCTATATTTTGGATTTCAGTTCATCAATTACTTGTAGTACAAATATCACTTTCTTGACAGTGATCAACAGAAGGCCTTAATTTTAATAGTCTGATTCACCGATATTTTTCCTTTAAAAAGTTAATGCTTTTTCTGTATTTTTAAAGAAATTTTCCCTACCCTAGAGGTCATAAGATATAATACTATATAATTTTCTAGAAGCCTTTCATACTGAGAACTAAAATCCATCTTGAGTTAATCTCTGTGTGTGTTATTAGGTAGGGGTCAGGTTTTACTTGTTTCAAGACCCAGCACCTTTCCTCACTACTGTAAATTGTTACCTTGTTAAATCAAGAGTCCCACAAAAGTGGATCTGTTTCTGATTTGCCCTTCCTTAGAGAAGCACAACACTGTCTTAAGTTTGGCATCTAGTATAGCAAGTCTGTTCCTTTTTTTTTTTTTTTAAGTCTTCTCATTCTGTCTTATTTGTTAGCTGTGTCTGGCTATCCTTGCTCTTTTTTCCACATAAACATTTAGAATCAGTTTGTCAATTTCTACCTAAAATTTTTTAGGCGTTTGACTTGGGTTGCAGAAAATCTACAAATCCATTTGGGGAGAACTGACATTTTTATAATAGTGAGTCTTTCATTACATGAAAAAGGTATATGCCTTTATTTTAACTTGTATCAATAAAGGTTTGAAGTTTCTTTGCAAATATTTGTTATATTTATTCCTAGTCATTTGATGTTTTTTCTGTTATTGTAAATCACATCTTTCAATTTCAATTTTTGTTTGTTGCTAGTATACAGAAGTATAGTGAGTTTTTTATATTGACCCTGTATCTAAAAATCTTGCTTAAATTACTTATTAATTCTAATAATATATCTGTAAATTATTTTATTCATCAAATAATGACTTTTCCTCCTTCCTTCTTAATTCTTATACATTTTCATTGTTTTCCTTACCTTATTGTGTTGGCTAGAGCCTCCAAAAAATATCAAACAGATCATGTCAAGCAGCATTTTTGTCTTGTTTCATATTAAAAAGATGTACCATTACCATTAATAAAGTCTGTTGTAGATTTTTTTATTGATATACTCCATCAAAATAAGGAAATTCCCATTCATAGTTTGCTAAGAGTTTTATCATAAGTGGATGTGGAATTTTATCAATAGTTTTCTTTATATATTGAGATGACAATGTGATTTTTCTCCTTTATTCTACTACTATGGTGAATTAGGCTGGTTGATTTTCAAATGTTAAACCACCTTGCATTCCTAGAAAAATCAACTTCTTATTGATGTATTATCCTTTTTAAATATAGCTACTTTCAGTTTGACATTATTCTGTATGAAACTACTTATGCATCAGTTGCCATGATTGACACTTCCCTGTAATCTCCCTTTTCTGAAATATTATCAGGTTTGTATCAAGGTTGTAGTGATCTCTAAACAAATGGATACCCAACAATCAATATCGGATAGAACGACCAGACAGAAAGGAAACAGACGTGCACAAGACTATAAACCAATTAGACCTAACAGATATAGAGAACACGCCATTCAACAAGAGAATACACATTCCTCTCAAGCGCACAAAGAACACTCCCCAGGATAGACCATAATGTTATGGCAAAAAACAAAAATCATACAAAATATCTTTTCTGATTACAATGGAATAAAACTGGAACTCAGTAACAGAAGGAAAACTAGGAAAGTCACAAATATGTAGACATTAAACACACTCAAACAGCCAACAGATTAAAAAAGAAATCACAAAGGAAATTAGAAAACACTGTGAGACAAATGATAACAAAAACCCATCAATATTTATGAGAGGCAGTAAAAGCAGCTAAGAGGGAGATTTATAGCTGTATACGACTACATTAAAAAAAAGGAAAAATCTCAAGTCAACAACCTAACTACTTCATAAGGAACTAGAAAAAGAGTAAATTAAACCCAAAGCTAGCAGAAGGAAGGAAATAATAAAGATTAAAAGTGTTGATACATGAAATAGAGAACAGAAAAGCAATATAGAACTTCTTTCTGGTTTTCGATTTGACACTTGAAGATTTTAGATGTTGGAACTCCTGTCCTAACAGGAAAAAACCTGAACTACATATCAACAACTCTTCTTAGATCTAGCAGAGAATTGAGGTCACAAGGCAAAACTGCTGTCCTCAAAATTGGAGACAGACAGACAGACAAATACAGAAAACTACACCATACCAGACCAAGTAGAAGACCAAAAGCAGAAACCCCCGCAGGACTAGGACCAAGGTAGGAAAACTCAAACTGTAATTAATGAATTGCTGGAGGCTCAGTATGGACAAGACTGAGAGGTGAAAACTCCATGGAAGCCTATTCTTAGGGGGCCCACACAATTTTGTGAGTTTTCCTCTGGGAGTCCTATCAGGTTTTCATAGTAAAGATCAGAGAAAAATCTCCTTGTACTTCTGGCAGAAAGAAGAGGAAGCAGCATTCTGAAATACACCCAAAGCATTCTTTTCTTCTTAACAAGACTAATCCACAAGAGAAACTATTTTACAAGACCCTAACCAACTATACTTTTACCAGAGCCTAACTGTTCTAGGGTAAAGGGAACTCCTAACTTCAGCCCCCACCTAGCCTCTGAAACAGGGGAAAGGCTATGTACAACTCAGGCTCACTAAAACACTAAGACCAAATCCTAGGACTAGAGAATGCTTTCCCTCCCCCTTATACCTTTACCACCACATCAAGAGGGTTCCTGTACAACAGAGGAGACAAAATAAAGGACACCAAAGTAAACTTCAGCCTCTGACACCTACAACAGTAACATGAGTCCAACTCCTAACCAGATGAACACAAAACTTACACTAAAGACCTATTTATTTCAATTCCTTTTACTCAGTATATTATGCCCAGCTTTCAACAAAAACCTACAGGGCTACTAAAAGACAAAAACACAGTTTAAAGAGATAGAGCAGACATTAGAACCAGACTCAGATATGGCAGAGATACGTTAAAGACTCTAAATGAAAAGAGTGGACAGATGGATAAGGCAAGAAGAGAGATGGAAACTCTGAGGAAAAATAACAATGAAACGCTGGACACTAAAAACACTGTAACAAAAATGAAGAATGCCTTGATGGTATACTGCGAGGAACTATATTCTGTACCTTGTAATAACT